GGGAATTGAACTCAGGACCTTGTGCTTGCCAAGTAGGGCACTGTGCCACTGAGCTATAAACCCAGCCTAGAGATTAACATTTAAATTGGTCAACTTGCCAGGTGTGGTGGCACACACTTGTAATCTCAGCAGTCGTGGAGGTTGAGGCAGGAGGACCACAGGTTTGCGGTCAGTCTGGGCAATTTAGCAAGACCCTACCTCAAAATTTAAAAAGAAAGAAAGAAAAAGGAGCTGGAGATGATATTCAGTGCAAAGGCCCTGGGTTTAATCCCCAGCACAGCAATTAAAAAAAATAATGGGCTATGTAAAGCCGATTGCATTCCACAGTGTGGGTGGGACTTACCCAATCAGGTAAAGTTCTAAATATAACAAAGACGGACTTCTGACCAAAGGGGATTCTGCCAGCAGATGCCTTCACACACGAAGGACAACACGAAGGCCTCTCCTCCCTGGCTCTCCAGCCCGATGGGCTTCCCATTCTTTAGTTTCAAAACTTACCACAAAGCTACAATAATCAAGATTGTGTGTCACTGCAATGATAGACACATGGATTAATAGAATACAACTGAGAGTCCAGAAATAAACTCACACATTTATTGTCAATTGATTTTCCATAAGAGAAAAAAATATTTTTCCATAAGGGCGCCTAGACTTCTCAGGGAGGAAGAACAGGCTTTTCAACAAATGGCCAAAGGGGCTAGGGATTTAGCTCAGCGGCAGAGCGCCTGCCTGGCAAGTGCGAGGTTGTGAGTTCAATTCCTGGTACCGGAAAAAAAATATGGCCTGGGACAACTGGATGTTTGAATGCAAAATCATGACACTGGACACCTACATTACACAACAGAGAAGTGAAACAAAGCTCAAAAGAACTCATACATTAAAAACATAAGACCTCACCAAGGTGGCACACATCTGTAATCCCAGCATGTGGGAGGCTGAGGCAGGAGGATCACCACAAATTCAAGGGCAGCCTTGAGACCATGTCTCAAAAAAAAACAAAAAGAAACTACAACCAGATTATTTCACTTTCGGCCTGGGGCCACCAAACCCTTTGGGCACCCGGGCTCCATGGCGACCCCACTGTCTCTCCCTGTAAGTTTCCATTCCCACTATCTGAAGTAAGTCATCACGAGTGCTCCTGGCTCCTCAAACTCCAAACTCCCTCTCTCTTTTCCCGCTCCTCTGTCTACCCAGATCCGCAGTTGAGAAGGCTTGTGTCAGAGCTGTGGGCAGAAGCTGGTCACTCCACATCTGCCCCAGCTCCTGCCCGCTGCCCTGCGGACTGTGCAGGCCGGAGTGGTAAACACCGCGCCTCCCATATGTTCCTGCACAGCTTTAATCATGTGCTTAACGTTGGAACTGAGCGGGGTGGGAAGAGACAGGTGGTGTCTCCCAGGCAGCCCTCCGCTCGGCGAGTCTGGCAGGTCTGGTGTGGCTCCGGACGCTGGGGAAGATTCCAGGTCCTCGGGTTGTGGCTGTTCTCTCACTTAACAGCTGAATATCCTCTGACTGACGTGCCATTAGAAGTAGAGATGGCAGGGACCCTGCTGAGGAAATTACTTAGAATAGTTCTAGCAGAGATGTCTCTCGTGCCTCATGAAGCTCCTGGCCTCTGGGTCCCTGACTCTGCCAGAACTCACCACCCAGAGCTGGGAGACCCATGACAATTCTTATATCACCCACCCACCCATCTGTCCATCTGTGCTCCCAATCATTTGTTTATTCACATCTTCTACACTCCCTGATCTTATTCTGTAGCGTCCCTGATTCTGGAGTTGGGAATAGACAGACAAATCAGACCACTGCTGTAAAACAAATCACCCTAAAGCACAGGTTGTTACACAACAATCGTTTCTTCCCTTACTCTTTTGCAGTTTGGGCAAGGCTTTGTGGGAACAGTGTTCTCCCCAACATGGCTTTGTCTGGAGCAAACTGCCTGGGGCTAGAGGATCTACTTCCAGGATGGCGCACACCCATGGCTGGCAAGTTGCTGCTGGCTGTGGGCTGAAGTAGTGATTTTTCCCACATGACTGCTTGGGCTTCCTCCCTACACGGTGGCTGAAGCAGAAGTTGACAGTTCACTTCAAGGAAATCAGCACAGGGCCGGGGATATAGCTCAGTGGCATAAGCGCTTGCCTGGCAAGCCAGAGGTCATAAATTCAATTCCCGGTACTAAAAAGAAACAAACAAAGGAATTAGCACAGTGTCATTTCTACCATATTCTGTTGGTTCAAGCAAGTCAGAAGCCAAGCCCATTGTCAAGAAGGTGGGGGAAAAACACCCTGCCTCTCTATGGGGGAAGTGATGAAGAACTCATAGCCATTTATAATTTATCAGGATGGATTCCTATACCTGTACTATATTTGCTGGGTTAACACATATATACTTGTTTTTCACTTTTAGGAATTGAACCCAGGGTGTGGTGAGCTACATCTCAAACCCTTTCTGTTTTATATTATTTATTTTATTTTAATGACAGCATCTTCATAATTTGCTCAGCCTCACCTTCCTAAGTAGCTGAAATTACTAGCATGCACCACCATATCCAACTCTGGATTTTTAACTCATTGAAATTTTTATTTTTATTTATTTATTTTGGGGACTGGGGATATAGCTCAATGGCACAAGTGCCTGCCTGGAAATATAAGGTCCTGAGTTCAATTCCCAGTACCATAAAAAAAAAAAGTGTACTTATTTATTTTGGTACTGGGAATCGAACTCATGATCTTGCATTTGCCAGGCAGGTGCTGTGCCGTTGAGCTACATCCCCGGGCCTCATTAAAATTTTAAAAATAATTTTTATTTATTTATTTATTTTGTCTTTTTGAGGCAGGGTCTCGCTATGTAGTTCAGGCTGGCTTTGAGCTCACTTTGTAGCTCAGGCTGGTCTCCAACTCGAAACGATCCTCCTGCCTCAGCCTCCCAAGTGCTGGGATTACAGGCATGTGCCACCATGCCCGATTCTTTCATACAGTTTTTTTTTTTTCCATATGGTTTTAAACCATTCTGAAAGATAAAATGTGCAAGTGTCCCTTTACCATACCTCTTACCTAATTCTCTTTTGCCTGCAGAGGTCGCTATTGACACTATTTCTTTTCTTTCTTTTTGGGGGCGGGGCGTGTCTTTTTGAGACAAGGTCTGGCTATGCAGTTCAGGCTGGCCTTGAGCTCACTTTATAACACAGGCTGGCCTCGAACTCACAGCGATCCTCCTGCCTCAGCCTCCAGAGTACTGGGATTACAGGCATGCGCCACCACACTTGGCCATCACTATTCCTTTTTTATAGGCATGAACATGTGTGTAGTAAACACGTATGTGCCGTAAACACATATGCACACAGAGCTTATTTTTCTCTGCATGGATGACTTCAGGCTTGATACACTGTTTTGGAACTGACTTTTTTTAGCTTTTTTTTTTTTTTTTGTCTTTTTGAGACAGGGTTTCACTTTGTAGCCCAGCCTGGCCTCCAACTCACAATGATCCTCCTGCCTCAGCCTTCAGAGTGCTGGGATTATAGGTGTGCACCACCATGCCCTGACTTTTTAGTTTAGTAAGACATCTTCCACATGCTTTGGGATATATTAATATATCTCATTCTTCTTACTTAAAATTATACGTCTGGCCATAAAGAGAGAAAAATAAAGATGCTCTTATATACTCAGCACTCATCTTGGGAAATGAAACAAATCCAGCTGAATCCCTCAGGCTAGCTCTCTGACCACCTTCTCACACCACTACGCCCATTCTGTATTGGTGCCTGTTTATACTTTTACTGCAGTATCTGTTCCTGTGCACAAAACTGCAATGGCGTTCATAACTGATTTTGGTCAGCATTAGGTTTTTGAGATTTCTCCACGTTGCATTTCTTCGGCCAGGCGTGGGGGCGGTGGCGGTGCACACTTGTAATCCCAGCACTAGGGAGGCTGAGACAGGAGGATCATTGTGAGTTCGAGGCCAGCCTGGGCTACAAAATGAGCTCAAGTTCAGCCTGAACTGCATAGAGAGACCCTGTCTCCAAAGACAAAAAACAAAACAAAAACCACATTGAATCTCTTTATTCATGATTCCACTGCAGCTGGTTGTGGTGACACTCACTTGTAATCCCAGCACTCAGGAGGCTGAGGCCGGAGGATTACTGTGAGTTAGAGACCAGCCTGGGCTACAAAGTAAGCTCAAGGCCAGCCTGAACTGCATAGCGGGACCGTCTCAAAAAGAAGAAAAAATTCCATTGCACAATCACAACTTCTTGGTGCCTTCTAAGAATGCACATGTGGGCGCTTCTGGCTTCCCTCCACTTGCCAACAGTGCTGCAGTAAATCCTCCATATGTGTCCTTCCTTGCACTGGAGTTTAAGATCTCCAGTGTCTGTTAAACTGAAGTGTATGAACATATTCAGCTTTGTTCAATGTGGCCAGGGCTGGGATATAGCTCAGCGGTATAAGCACCTGCAAGTACAAGGTCCTGAGTTCGATTCTCAGTACCAAAAAAAAAAAAAAAAAAGTGGCCAGGTCATGTTCTTTTACCCTGCCTTCATGGGAACTGTTGTACTTCACACTCTTGAACTCCTTGGTTTTTTTTTTTTTAACTAGCCTTGAACTCACAGCAATCCTCCCTCTGCCTCCTGAGTGCTGCATTTACAAGCATAAACCACACACCTGAACACTTCTTGCTGGGTTATGAGAATGTTTTACTTCCTAAGCCTGGGGGTGTACTTTAGAGATATAGCACTTGCCTGGCATGCAAGAAGTCCTGGGTCCCATCCCAGAACTGCAACATAAAACTCTTTTGTAATGTTCTGTGAATATGATGAATGAAAACTCATTTCTCTTTCTTGCTTGAATTTTCTTTTTTTTGTTTGTCTGAGACAGGGTCTCGCTATGCAGTTCAGGCTGGCCTTGAGCTCACTTTGTAGCCCTGATCTCAAACTCACAACGATAATCCTCCTGCCTCAGCCTCCCAAGTGCTGGGATTATAGGCGTGCGCCACCACACCTGGCTTCCAGTTGTCTTTTTTTGACTGGCTTATTTCACTCAGCATACTGTCCTCGGGTCCAGCTCCTTAAAACATGTAAGAATTTCCTTCCTTTTTAAGGCTGAATAGTATCCCATTGTAAGTGTAAGCACTGCTTATCTACTTACTTGTCAGTGTCTTTGTTATAGTTTGTATCTTAATTATCCCTCAGAGTCCCATACAGTCAAGGTCTGCTTGCCAGTCTGTGGCACTACTGGGGAGCAGGTGAATCTGTAGGAAGTGAGGCTACTGAAAGTGAGGTCACTGGGAGCGGGCCTTAAGGTTGGCATGCCAGCCCTCCCGATCCCTCTCCTCATTGCCTAGCAGCCAAGAGTTGAACCATCTCCCTCACCAAGTGCTCCAGCCATGATGTTCTGACTGGCCACATACCCAAAGGCCATGGGGCCAAATGCATGGACTGAAGCCCTTAAAACCATGAGTCAAAAGAAATCTTTCACCCTTTTAAATAGTTATCTCAGTTGTTTATTTTGCTGCAATAAAAACTAAAACAGAAAATTGTGATGAAAAGCTAAGTCTTTTTACAGAAATCCCTCCCTACCTCGTGATCATTAACACATTCTCCTATATTCTACTAATTTTTGTTTGTTTGTTTGTTTTTATTACCCTCTCCTAAATTTTCTTTGGAGGCTTTAGATTTTTTTGCTTTTTAGATTTAAGTAAATCATCTCTTTTTTTTTACATAGCAAATATACACAATTTTTATTTGTCAGTTATACTGCAATAAAGCTGGAAAGAAATGGATTCAGGGCATTAAAATTAAGAGACGGTGATGGGTGCTAAGATATTAAACAAAAACTAGAAAGAAGAAATGGATTTGAAAATGAGAGAGAATGAAAATAAATCATCTCCTGTAGAGCTGATTTTCATGTATGATGTGAAGTAGGTTATTCCAGTTATTTTCCATATGGACAATCAATTGTCCCATACCATTTATTGCAAACACACAAACACATGTTTTTTACTTTTAAATCTATGTGTATTTGTTTTCCTTTTTATTTTTTGTATTATGCCTTATGTTTAGAAGATTGTCTATTAGCTTAGTCAAAGAACTAGCTTTCAACTTTGTGATTTTTTTGGGTTTTTTTGGTTGTATTTGTCTTTTTTGAGACAAATGCAGTTCAGGCTAGCCTCAAACTCGCAATGATCCTCTTGCCTCAGTCTCCTGAGTGCTGGGATTACAGGTGTGTGCCACCACACCTGGCACCTCCTTTTTGTTTTTGAGATAGTGTCTTGGTATGCCATCCAGGCTAGCCTTGAACTCACTGTGTAGCCTAGGTTGGCCTTGAACTCATGGAGATCCTTCTCCTTTAGCCTCCCAAGTGCTGAGATTATAGGCATGTACCACCATGCCTAGCCTGGATTCTCTGTTTTAGCTTTATATTTCCCCTAGTAATCTGTACCATTACCCATCCTGCATCTGTTTTCCACACAAGCCTGCATCAGTTTCTGAGTTTTCTATGTAATTTCACTGATTTTGTTATGGGTCCATACTACAATATTATGTTGTCTTAAGTACAACAGATGCAATTATATTTGCCATGGAGACAGGTCACCTATCTGGCACTTCTTTACAATTGTCCTAGGCCTTTGACCTAATATGTACATTATTTTTTAGCAGAATTTTTAAAAATATGTACATTTTTCTGGGCATGGTGGTGCACGCCTGTAATCCCAGCACTCAGGAGGCTGAGGCAGGAGGATCATTCCAAGTTTGAGACCAGCCTGGGCTACAAAGTGAGCTCAAGGCCAGTCTGAACTGCAGAGCGAGACCCTGTCTCAAAAAGACGCACACAAAAAAGTACATTTTAAAATAAATTCTTGGGGCTGGGGATTTAGCTCAGCGGCAAAGCGCCTGCCTGGCAAGCGTAAGGTCGTGAGTTCGGTTCCTGGTACCGGAGAAAAACCAAAAAAAAATAAAATAAAAAAAAAATAAAATAAATTCTTAAATTCCATGAAAAGGTTTTTTTGGTTCAGTAAATGGTGGTGCATGCCTGTAATTCCAACATTT